GGATTTTGGTGTTAACTCATGTAATTATTCAAGCTTTTGAATTGACCTGGGTTCTTTATAATTTTCATCTTAAATGTGTTTTTCGGTTGTAAAAATATGAACTGTAGCATTTACATCATGTTAAACTTGTACTTATGTCCCAGTGCAGAGTTGCTGCAGTTAACCCGTCAGTGTATTAACATTGTTTTAATATCTGCCAAATGTGTTTTCCTGGCCACAGGGAAAAGAATGTCTGTGCTGTGCTGTGGCTGTGGCAAAACAGGCTGTTGATGGCTTAGTAGATGCAAATAGGATGACAAAGATAGTGAAGAGCCTTTAGGGAAGCCATTTGAGGAGCAGCTGAGGTCACTTGGTCTCTTCAGCTTAGAGAAAAGGAGATTGAGGGGAGACATTGCTGTACACAACTTCCTCACAAGGGGAAGTGGAGGGGCAAGCATTGACCTCTTCTCTCTGGCAAGCAGTGAGAGGACCTGGTGTGGTTTAACTCCAGCCAGCCACTGAACTCCATGCAGCTGCTCACACAGTCCCCCACCAGTGGGATGGAGGAGAGAATCAGAAGGGTGAAAGCTAGAAAAACTCGTGAGTTTAGATAAAGACAGTTTAATAAGGAAAGCAAAAGCTGCACACACAAGCAAAGCAAAACAAGAAATTAATTCACTGCTTCCCATGGGCAGGAGGTGTTCAGTCGTCTTGAGGAGAGCAGGGCCCCATTGCATGTAACAGTAACTTTGGAAGACAAATGCCATCACTCCAAATGTCTCCCCCTTCCTTCTTCTTCCTCCCACTTTATATATGAGCATGATGTCATATGGTATGGAGTATCCCTTCTGGTCAGTTTGGGTCACCTGTCCCAACTGTGTGTCCTCCTGTTGGACTCAATGATCCTCATAGTTCTCTTGCAACTCTGAATATTCTGTGATTCTGTGAAATAGAGAATTTGAAATCGAATATTTAATGTGGGGAGTGTCATGGGATCCCTACGGGACAAAAGTTATAACTTGTGCAGATGTGACAGACTTGTTTTCTACTACTTTACTGGATTACTTTTAGGCAGGATATAGCTGCTGAAGTTGGACTGTATTGATTGAAGGATACTCTTCCTTAAGATAGGTTTTTGAAGTCTGGGCAATGATGATGAAACAGTGGTAACTGATTTAAAATGACAGGTGATGGTGCCAACTTCAACTAAATGTTTCTTAGCACAGCTCACTTGTAGGCTTTATTTGCTGTGGCTTATAACCTTGGTTATAACTTTTCTGTTAGTTTTCCATGAGGAATCTTTGTCTCAAACTATTTTGTCTTGGCTGAAGCTGAATAATCTAACAGGTCTATACATGAATATAGGTAGCAAATACATAATTTACCTAAGCTAGATATTCAGACAGCATTGTCATATATGTTGTAACATATCCATCTTTGATGTTTAAATCTCTAAACACCAAAGATAAAAGTTATACTTACAAGGGATGTCATTTCTGGGAGAAGTCAGGTGCCACTCTGCCAAACTCTCTTTATGAGTTTATAAGCTTTGTATATGCTAAAAACATACTGGTGTTCTAGCAACTGAAATCTGTAGAAAGCATTTCCCTCTATATATATTTCTTTAGTTCTCTGAGATCCAATGCTGACCAAATTCTGCCTGCAACATCCCAATAGAGTGGCTGAAAATATTCTGCTTCCATTTGTTCTCACATCTTGGTACGCTAAATATGGCCCAGGGCACTGTGAGAAGTGAGATCGCTCACAACTGACTAGGGAAATAATTTTGTGTGCTCATAGCTTTGGGTTCTTTTTTTTCTTTTCTGTTTTTTTTTGCATAGTATAGGTTGAAGTTAGTGTTATATAGATGAAGCAGAGAAACACTTAACCACAAATACAATGAAAGTAATCAGTCCCTCAGACTTCTTTTTGACAGGGCATAGTTGGTGTTGTATTAAAGGAGTTACATGACTAAACTTGGAACAATGAGGAAAACCTAAATATAAAGTTGTTGCTCATTAAGAATGTAGCATCCACTGTCTGTCTTGAATAGAAAGTGCCTTAGGAAAAATTATGTGCTCTTGTCTAATAAAGAGGTCTGTAACAAAGCTTAGGTATGATGAGAAGATCTCAAGATGAACAGGCTTTCATTTTTCCAACTTTTGTTATCAAAATCCTTCAGTTATTTATTCTACAAAGAAAGGAGAGTTATTGATTTAAGATCAAGAAGGGTCTGCTGGATGTGAACTGGTTCAGCCAGCACACTCACACCAGATTAAAGCAAGGCCAATCCAATAGAGTTGTTCAGGCCTTGTCAAGTCCTGGTGAAGCTGACATCTTTCCCTGAAGTCCAGGGTTATAATGGTGTTTGTATTGTACAATTCCCTTGGTTTGACTGCAGAAACTCATGATTTCTGTAGTCAAATAGAAGTATTTAAGTCAAACATGTTTGTGGTGCATGGTTTGTTGGTTGATTTTTTTTGTGTTGGTTGGTTTAGTTTTTTGTTGTTGTTTTTTGTTTGTTTGTTGTTGTTTGGGGTTTTTCTTTTTATGTGATTGTAGTGTGGTAGTAACTCTTGTTATCCTTCCTATTCCACTTTTACCTGATGTTTGCACCTTGTGTTTTCAGACTGCTTTGACTATTCTATTCAGAATTTGGGGGGGAAAAAAGTGGTACCGACACAATGTTATTATGCATTTCTTTCCAAACAAGACAGTGGGTATCCTGTATATTCTCAAAAAGGTGGTGAAGGGAAGGGACATTGATATATACAACAAATTGTTTTGTATTCAACTACACACAGGTAAAACAAGTGGCCTATCTGTCATTGTGCAGGTGTTTCTGACCTGGACAATAAGGAACAACTGCTGGCCACCAGGCTTCTGCTAACAGGTCTGGGCTGTGCTACTCTGGTTGTTGCATCTGAATTATCTTTGTGCACGAACCCGAAGTACTGAATATCTTCAGGTTAGGCTTAGAAGCAAAATCTGTTCTCTGTGAGGAGAAAGTAAGATCTGCTTAAGCAGTGAAGTCTCATGACAGGCCTGTGAGGCTATAATTGGTTCTAATTGGCTCTCATTGGAGCACTGACATGGTCTACCTGCAGCCAAATGGCTCTTAGAGAGGCAAAGAAGTAATCTGTCTTTATGAATAGTGAAGAACCCTTTTCCAGGCTTGTCTTTGCTCCTGAAGGGCCTGATAACCAGTAAAAAGAAAAGGATTAGAACTTGCAATTCGAGTGAGAGTAATTTTGGAAAGTGGGTTTTTATCTGTGAAGCCAACAACGAGTAAAACTTGTTTTGTTTAACATGTTGCTGTGTCTAGTTTTAGTCTGTAATGCAAATATACATAGAAGTTATAGAACAAACTGATAAACTGAAGGAGTATGTTTGTAATGTAGTTTATTGGGGGCTGTTGGTATACCTGTGCATGGGGGGAAGACAGACAATTTACTACCCAGTCATCTCCAGTTATCTAAACTGAGGTTACAGATACAGTTGGGGATGCATTTAAACAAACAGGCAAACAAAACCCCTTTCTACATAGAGTCATGCACTCTATATCTAGAGTTCAAAGCTGAATGAGGAGGTTGACTTCAGTCTGTAAAATTAATCTTTGTGAAACTGAAATGTGCACAGTTCCAGAGTGCCAATGTGCTCTTTTGTTAATTCAGAATTATGAGTGAAATGTCCTATCTAACCCTAATTTCAGACACATTTGTCTGAATTTACTGAGGGCATGTTCTGTTGGATATGCACAGACCTGGAAGGAAGGAAACATGATTCATTTTCACTCTGTCATTGAATCGCCCATTCACAAACCATTTCATTCCTGTATGGCTGAGTTTTTGATGTCTGTTTTGGTAATGTGTGCTGAGATGTCTAAAGGAAGCCTCTTTAGTGGGAGGAAGTGTATCAATTATTTCTACTAATGTGTAGAATTTCTTTGGAATTCAGGTCATAAAGAGCTTTAGTGAAGCTGTGGCTTTGTAGGCAAGCATAGAAGTTACCATATATGATCCCACCTGTTTCTGTATCTAACTACATTTCCTCTGTTCAGAGTTGCTGGCTGGTATGGTGGTGGAAAAAATACCAAAAACCCATCAGTTATAGTTCCACTCAGATTAGAAAAAAATGTACCAAATATTTGCCTGTACTTTCTACAGATGTTTCATCCCTGTTGAAGTAATGAAAGCTGGTTATATTTTCTTACTATTCTGTGTAACCATTGTAATAGTACTCAGAAAATGAGGTGCAGTAGGTGTAGGACAAGAATTTTAGATGTATTTTCCAAGAATCTGCAGGGCTGATTTTATAACTGCTGAGTTATAAAATACTGCTCCTAACTCAGTGCTGAGTACAAGTCAGAATGTGAACTCCAAATGCTTTCACTTCTGTGCTTCCATATTTGCGACAATAATTCCTCACTTGTGTGTCTGTCTTCCTCAGCTCAGATGGCCCTCATGAATGTGGGAGGACAGTGTTCAGCTTGTCCTTAAAAACAAGGGCAAGGAACAAATTCCCAGGTTCACTGTAAAGACAAATGGTGCTGGAAATATGTGGACTAGATATCCAAAAGTCTTAAGAAGTGTTGAGAAAAGGACAGACTCCCACTATGTGTGAATAGTCAGCTCTCCAACCTCAAGGAGTGCTGCCAAATATTTCCTTTGAATCCCCATATAAGATTGAATCCCTTGCAGCTGAAACAGGTGTGGCTTGTTTTTTCTCCCTGAACAGCAGTGTCCTATTCAGCACTGTCTGGGGTATTAGAACTAACGAAATCATTCATTGTTGATACACTGTCTTGATAATTCTCGATAACCTTTTCACTTATATTTATCTTAAATGCTGCTTGTCTTTATTTAGGAACTAATAACATACTTCATCAGGCCTGGCCAACAGAAGGCATTAATTTCACCCCTGTAACTAGTGAAAGGGTGTGCTTGCTTAAGTTCTTACTCTTGACCACTGAAGTTGGCAAATAAGTAACTAAAACGTTTTTCTTTGGTTTTGTTTTGTAGCTGGTGCCACATATATATTTGGGAAGAGTGGAGGTCTCATCCTGTACACCTGGCCAGCTAATGACAGACCGAGCACGAGGACAGACCGTCTTGCTGTGGGCTTCAGCACAACGGTGAAGGATGGCATTCTGGTTCGAATCGACAGTGCCCCTGGGCTGGGGGATTTTCTGCAGCTGCACATAGTGAGTATAGACAGGCCCATGTCTATGCCAGACCTGGGTTCCTGTTAACTGAATATGCATTTGAAGAAAACTGTTATTCAGAAATAGCATGTGTCATGTTCTGTGCTTTATATGTCTTCAGCACTCATCAAATTAAACTGCTTTAGTAGTTCTTTAGGGTTTTTTAGAATTACTGAATGGGATGCTTAGGGAACCAAGCCTTGGTGCCAGAAGAAATTGGGGAAGGGGGGAACAAATAAACAGAAAGCAAAACTCTTATGTTATTCAATAGCAGTAGGATTTATTTAAAAATTGAATAAACATTTTACATCAGTGCTAATCTACTGTGGCATATGCAGAGTCTTGAATACATCTGAATTTATGGTAGAATATTACTATTCTCGGAAGGCAAAGAATAAAAGGGAGTGATAGTTCGTTGGTTTTTTTCCTCACTAAGAAAGTTAAGTGAGAACTGAACAGATCCTCAAGCTGATATAGCTGATGCTTGCTTTAGCAGGATAGTTCAAAAGAATAAGAATTTGATGTTAGCACAACATGTCTTTGCAAGAGGAAAAAAGACTTTTGTGAGAGCAAATATTATAGGGAAGTTTGAGTGAAGGTGGCTTAAGGGAGAGTTGAATTATTTGAGAAAATGAGAACACTAAAACTGGAAACTATGAGAGTTTGTTACTTTATATGATGCTTTGGGAGAAGAAAAGGTTGTTTGTTTGTTTTCCTTTGGAAAATATTCAAGAGGTTTACTAGAGGTAGAAGTTGGTCATGTTACTCAATGTTCAGATTATTTCTAGTGTATTATGCATTAATTCATAGTGGAAGGGGAATTGGGCCATTTGCAGGTTTTCAACAAGCTGGGGAGTTGTTGACATTTCATGGAAGCTTGAAGGTATAAGTAAACAGGAGGAATGCCAGGGGCCAAAACAGACCTAATGTGTGTGACTAAGGGCCTTAATCTCCTGCTGGAGTTTGCCATGTTCCGAATCATGTTCTGGGTGAATTGCAGGGTGGTTCTGAAACAATCAGAAACAAGAGTCAGGGCTAGTACTCATTGCCAGCATTTTAAGTGGGTTTATTTTGAATCTTGTTGTAAAATTCAGATTTGTTGCAATGGGTTAGCATATGGCCCTGAGCCATTAGATTGTCACCAGTTCTGGTTTCTCTCTTTTGTGGTATATCTAAATATTTAGTTTGTGTTTTGTGCTGGAATGAAAATGAGATCAAATCTTGCCTTTTTTTTCTTTTAAGATAAACACTTTTCCTGCTTTCTTAAAAAGAAAACAAAAAGACCCCAGAAGACTTAGTAAAAGCAAACAGTGCTAAGGCTAATTGGCTGGAATTCTGTGACTCACATTAAGCAAAAGTGACTGGATATGTCTGAGCAAGGCAATGCCTATTCTTCAGATGTTGTAATACAACATGTGTAAAATGCTATCAGTTAACTGGAGAACAGTATTCCTGGCGTGTGAGGAGAGATACTGAGATGTGAATTTGTTCAGTCTTTTTCTAAGATGGGGCCTTGTTACTCTTGGCTGCCTAATGTGATATTAGAGAGAAAATGACACTCAGGCTCTTCTTTCTCAGTGGAAGGAAGGGGAAACAGACACAAGCACCAAAAAAGACATTTCAATCCTGCATTAAGTTAAGAACCTGCACAATGACTCTTTTCAGCATTAGTGATGAAGGCACATAGTTTTTCCTCTATGTCTTGGTCTCAAATGTCTACCTATCTCTACCTTTAACTGAATTTTTTAATGAGTGATTATTTTTAACATTACAAGAAATTTTGCTGAATAGACTGAAATAAACAAATAGAACCTGAGGTGTAAGCATTCATTTTAAAAAATGGTGTTAAAAAAGTCTTTATCTTTCCATTCAGTTTTGGAAAAGAAAATAATGAAAGTCTTTCTGTTTCCTCCCCATATTTTGTTTCTTTTTCAAGCTAGTCTGTATGGCATGGTGCTAGTTTCAGATTACTTCAGAGATCTAAATAACATATTCTAATTTTGGTTGATATTAATGCTAAAAGTTCCTGTGTTTGCTTCCTCTGTAGTTTGGCCAATTTTATCCCTGAAGGTGCTCAGTCGCAGCAAATATAGAACTAGTTCAGATTTAATTTCTCTTGTTCTTTTGTGGTCATGATGGATTAGGAGGATTTGCCAGTCATTCATGAGGAGCAGAGACACGCTGCTGTGCTCTTCTGGGTATCGCATTACCCGTCGTCGTATATATCACTGACTCTACGTATCTGTTCCAATAAAGAGCCTCATGCTGTTACATTGCAATTGGAAAGCTGAAGAGGAACTTTTAAAGTGTTATTGACTACTTGAGTGTCTGTAAGACTTTGTTATCTCTGGTTTATGGTACAAAGTCATAGAAGTGAACTTAGATCAGGATTATTTTGAAAAGAGTTGAAATCTGAAATTAAAGGTGCATTTTGAAATGACGCTTAAAATGCAACACCTTTTGGGGCCTTTTACTTAGGAATTTACATGCAAGCTTTCCATGAGACCAAGATCTTTCATAACTGACTGAAAACTACCAAGTGCTTTATGCTGTTGTGTTCAAAGACTGTCTGTCTTCCTTTCTTTAAAAACCTTCCATGAGATCATTTTCAATTGTCAAGAGAAACAAGGCAGCATGGATCAAATTATAATAGAAATATGGGATAAATAAATTTGGAAGGCAGAGCTATAATTGATAATAAAATAAGGCTTTAAAAACTAGATACTTAAACCATAAAGCAAATTATAGGAGAAAGAGAAAATAGGTATTAAAACAGGGAAGACTATTTTTATTATGATTTGTTTTATATATGTTTAGCAACTTGACTTTTTGAGGAGCAACTATATTTAATAATAATAGTAATAATGAAAGTGACAGGTATTTTCCTGGATGAGTACTGGGAAGACTTCTTCTGGGGCCTTTCTACATATTTGATTCACAGACTATATTTTGGATTCTCTTTACTGGATTGTGACCTCCTCACAGTCTCCTGGGTGTTCTATTCATGGTAACAGGTGACAAAACTAGAAATCTAATCCAGAAGTCAAAGATTAGGCTATGGCTTATCAAGATCTGATTTTATTTTAAAGATTGTAAAACTTTGTCATACTCTGCTAAGGAAACATTCTATTAGTTTGTCTGCTCTTTGAATAACATGTATCTTCTGGAGTGTCCATTATGATCTTTCTACCTGTAAGATTTAAAGTCAAAAAAGATACTTTATTAAGTTACATATTTGCTTGGTTAATTTACAATTGTTCTGTTTGGATTCATTTTTTAATTATGAGTCTTTCAGATACTGTGGAAATTTATTGACTAAGATGTCTATTTTGTATGACAAAAAATTACAGCCTCTGAAACTATTTTCTGTCCTGATTTACAATGAAGTATAAAGTGGCAGCCCTGCAAAAATGGATGGCTTACCATCCAGATCGATGCTGCATATGAAGCATGAGGTGTTTGTGTGAACAGACTGTAGCACATGGAATGAGAGTGTTTCTATAGTATCACATCTCTCCTTATGAAATTTTTTTATTTTCCTGACAATTCATTCAAAGCACCAAGTTCAAACCTGTACCAGGAAGTTGCCTTCCACAAGGGATGCTTAAAAGATTCCATGTATGAGTTGTGGTTGAAATGTTTCTATATGTTTGTTCACCTTACACTACCATACTTGTTTTGTGCTTTATAACATGCAAAACATAGAGATCAAATGGGGAGAGGAAAACAGCTGCAGGTGATGGATATCATTCCTGTGATGGCTGTGGAGAGAGGAATCACTCATTCACGTGTGCTGCTCATTTTGTCTGCATTCTTTCCTTTTGTTCTGTATGGTAAACTGCCATCTAGCCTCTGAATCTTCAGAATGGTGTTGTGAGGCTGGTCCAGTTTCCAAATTGCTTGTAAGAGATAAACTCTGGGTTTTGGCAAAAATGTTAGTGATTTTGGGAGGAGTTTTTCTTAAGTAGGCCCAGGCTAGTAGGGATCCATCATTTAGCACCAGGCTAAATATCTGTTGAAATAGAAATACCTTTACTTGGGTTGTGTTGCAGTAGACTCTAGAGGGTCCTACAGAAAAAAGTAAGTCTTCCCTGAGTTAGAGATGGCATTGCTAAATGAGAATGAGTATAAATGGAAAAACTGTATGTGTACATTCAACCATTATTTTTTTCATTTATACTGTGATTGCCCAAAGTCTCTGTGTGGATTTTGCAGTTGTAGAGACAAATCTGGCTCCTCTGTAAAATCTCCTGTAGATTCCTTTCCAAACTGCAGAGGCGTGTCATATGATCTGATACAGAAGAAGCAGAAGATTTAGAATCAGGGCAAGGATTAACACAGGGTTATCATATCCTTATCATAACCAGAGGGTGTATAGAATCATAGAATCAACTGGGTTGGAAGAGACCTCAAAGATCATCGCGTCCAACCATACTGTCATTACTAGACCTGGGCAGCGCATTCCAATGCCTGATTACTCTCTCCATAAAAAAATCTCTTCCTAATATCCAACCTAAACCTGCCCTGGCAGAGCTTGAGTCTGTGCCCTCTTGTCCTACTGCTAGTTTCATTTCTCTTTGGTAATTTTAGCATTTGAAGTATCCGTAATTGGCAGTAATGGCACAGATGGAGACTGAATTCCATCTTAGAATCACGGAATCATAGAATCAACCGGGTTGGAAAAGACCTTCAAGATCATGTCCAACCCTACTGTGGTTACTAGGCCATGGCACTAAGTGCCACATCCAGTCTCATCTTGAAAACCTTCAGGGATGGTGAATCCACCACCTCCCCGGGCAGCACATTCCAATGCCTGATTACTCTTGTATGCTGAACTGAATATCTTAAGGGCTACTCTGAGATAATAAATGGAGGCAAAATATAATAGCAGTTTGTATTTTGCTTTTCTATAACTAAAATCTCTTTGATGTAAAATATTTCAGCCTTCTTAGGCCAAATTCAGACTGACCATTAAAAGAGTAACATTTTTGTGCCCAAGA